GGAGGTCGTGTCGTACTCGGCACACAGGATGCTTCCGTCCTCTCGGCGATGAACTCCCGCCCACGAGTTGTGACTGTCCCCCCCGTAGACCACCGCGCGACCCCGGGCGGCCGTGAGGGAGGAGAGGAACCTGAGATGGGAGGTGCGTCACGAGGGAGGAGGAGCGAAGGAGGGGAAGAGAGGAAGAGGACAAGCAGGAGGACGGAAGATGAACGAGGAGGCAGGCAGGCAGGCAGGCAGGCAGGCAGGCAGGCAGGGGAGGGAGAAGAAGGCAGGAGCACACTTCACCTTTGACGTTCGACAGCATACCCCTGCCAAGAGTCGAAGGAGGAAGGGATTTCAAACTTGGAGAGCGCGTAGAAGAGCCTTGCTACCTCCCGGTCCTCGTCAGTCACCTCCTGCTCCTTCCCCAACTCCTCTGCCTTGTACGCCGTAGGGTCTACCCCCATGTACGTCCGCCGTTGGGACGTACAGGAAGCGCGATTCGTGCATCCCCAGCCCGTCACGTTCTGCAGCAGGTCGCGCAGCTCCCTCCTCCGCTCCGGCCTCATCCCAGCAGGAGCAGCAGACCCATCGAGCACGGCATCGAAGTCCTGGAACATGTCGAACATCACGAGCTGCTGCCCTACTATCAACCACCTCGTCCCCTCCTGCTGCATCCCCTCCACGTTGCTCCGCAGCCACGCCAGCTGCTCCTCTCCCAGCAGGAGCTTGTTCTCATCCTCCGAGTAGTTGGTGAAGGCCTTCCTTAGCCTCTCCGCTCCCTCCAACACTCCAGGCGTCTGCTCCCAGTCCCGAGGAGCGACGCCCTGCAGCAGCTCTCGGACTCTCACCGCAAGTGACCCGAAAGGCGTCTCGTTAGAGGGATCCCCGTCCCCGTCGTCGTCTTCGAGGGGGAAGGGATCGGCCTCCCCGTTGGTTCTGTTCACCAGCCTCGTCTCGAGCACCAGCAGGCGAGCGAGGTCCCCGAAGACGAAGGAGCGGAAGAACTTGGGGCCGACGGGAGGAGCGAGAGGTTCGGCCCTTGTCGGCATCCACTCATGGTAAGCTCTGATAGCATTTACCTTCCTGTCCTCCCACTCGCCTTCCCCTGGGTTGTGGTTCAGCGCTCCTCCGGTCCACGGGTTGTTTGCGATCTCGTGGTCATCCCAGATCGCGATGAGAGCTGCGCTCGCGCTCAGGCTCTGCAGACCAGGATCCTGCCTGTAGGAGGAGGGTGAGAAGAGAGGCAGAGGAAAAGAGGAAGAGGAGGAAAGAGGAGAGGAGGAGAGGAGGAGAGGAGGAGAGGAGGAGAGGACGAGAGGACGAGAGGACGAGAGGACGAGAGGACGAGAGCAGAGGAGAGCAGAGGAGAGCAGAGGAGAGGAGAGGAGAGGAGGAGGTTTTTGTGCGGGATAGAAGAAAGGCGTTAGAACGATGGGAAGGTAGTACAGAGAGTATGTAGAAGAGATTTCTGAGCGCGGGAGGGAGAGGACAGGAGGAGGACAGGGAATTGACGAGTGAGGAGAGGAAAAAGATACAACGAGAGGGAGTGGGGGGGGCGGGGGGGGGGGAGCGATGAGAGCAGGGAGGGGAAAAGAAGGTAGCGGAAGCGAAAGACCTGTAAAGAGCATGTCTCGCTCGGTAGTCCTCAAGAGTGATGGCCTCATGCGGGGGCTGCAGGCCGAGGGGAGGAGGAGCGAAGCGAACAGCCTGAGCAGGGGAGGGATACACATCCTGCCCATTCTCATAGAGAAAGTCGCCAACATGCATCCAGAAGTCCAGGTCGTACCTCGCGGCAGCCTCGTACACGTTGAAGTATCCCCAGCCCCAGTTCGAGCAGGACATAACGGCGTACCGCAGGCGATCGACCCTGGCTCCTGCTCCCCTTGGCACGCGGAACCGACCAATGGGAGAGCGGGAGGGTCCCACAGCGAAGCAGTAGAAGTAATCCTTCCCTTCCTCCAGACCTTTCACGTCCACTTTGAGCACGTAGTCGTTGACTTGAAGCGCCATGACAGTGCCGTTAGGGGGAGGCAGATTATCAGCTGAGAGCGCCCTCGCACTCCCTGAAACTCTCCAGTGCACGGGGATGGAGGAGGTGGTCGGGTCGCGCGGGGTGACCCTCGTCCTGCAAGCGAGGATGAGTTCGTGGGGAGATGCAGGGAAGGAGGGGAGAATGAGATAGGGGAAGAAGGGAGAGGAGGACAGACAAGGAGAGGAGAGAGGAAGTCGTCGGAGAGGGAGGGGGGTGACAACCATATGATAACGCTGCCGGGAAGTGGGTCTCCTGACGCTACTCCGTGAAGGAAGGAAACATGAAACCCGGTCGCTCCCTCTCCGCGTTGGATTGAACTAGCAAGTATCGCCGCAAACAAGGGCACCTGATACATCCTCTGCCAGGATGTCCTGGAATTCACATGCTGTGGTTTGCCCTGCACTCCATGTCGCTGCGCGATCTCAAAGTCTTTTCTCTTCATCTTTTCTCTGATCCTGCCTCCTCCGCTTGCCTTCTTCCTCTCTCTTCTCTCCTCCCTCCTCTTGCCTTCTTCCTCTCTCTTCTCTCCTCCCTCCTCTTGCCTTCTTCCTCTCTCTTCTCTCCTCTCTCCTCTTGCCTTCTTCCTCTCTCTTCTCTCCTCCCTCCTCTTGCCTTCTTCCTCTCTCTTCTCTCCTCTCTCCGCTTGCCTTCTTCCTCTCTCTCTTCTCTCTCCTCTACCAACGCCATGTTCCCCAGCATGCCCCCGCCCTCTCTCCCAACATCTCTTCCCGTCAGTAAAGCGCCTCAGAGCATCTTATATGGCCGGGCCCCGGGGTCGGGGGCCAGCATCGCCACTGGCTACTATCACTAGCCGGGTGGCAGGAACTTCAGAGGCTGCCGAGGCGGCCCCGGCGCACCGTCAGCGGCCGCGGCCCGGCAGGGCGGCCATGCACCGTCACTCCGAGGCTCGGCAGCGCGGCCCGTGGCTGTGGGCGTTCAAGTTCCGAAGTTCCCTGGCAGTTCAAGTTGACTCACTGTCACTGGCAGCCAGCGGCCCGGCCCCCGGCCCGCGCCGCGGCGGCGGCGGCAGCCTGGCAGGCCGGCGCGCGGCTCAGCTCAGACCCACGGCCGCTGAGGACGCGTCACGTCAACAGTTCCTGAGTTCGACGTGCTGGTGCCTGAATCCTTTTGACTCAGTGATTCCAAGAGCACCGCAAACTTGAATGTCCAGCTGCACTGAGCAGGAGGCTGTGACAGTGACTGATCGACACGGGCTGTGCAACTTGGCAAGGCTTTGGTTTCGATGTCAATGTCTCCTGTACCGTCAAGAAGGTGAAGGATTGTTTCCAGACATCACCTGAGGAGCTACTACAAGAATTTCTCGATGAACTTTGACATCATGTGTGATCTAAACTATATTTGACTTGGAGAACATGTGACCTTAACCGAATCACACACAAATAACACTGAGATGCTCTGAGAGAGCGCCCTCAGGTTGCTCCAGCATCGACTTCGCTTCTGACCTTGATCGTCCGCCCGTAGTCCAACTCCCTAGATGACGTCGTTCTGAAACTCTGGCAGCCCCATCTCGTTCCACTTGTCGTCATCTTGCTCTTGATCTGCACGAGCTCGTCAGCGAAGTAATTGATGCATTCAGAACCTTGCTCACCATTTAGATCGTCGCTCTCATCGTTGGTATCCAAATTTGGCAGATCTACATCTGAACGATCGATTCAGGTACGCAAACACCAAAGCGAAGATTTCAAAGCGAAGATTTCAAAGCGAAGATTTCAAAGCGAAGATTTCATTGTTATCACATGAAATGCCGAGCAAAGTAGAAAACTTCACGCACAAGACTGGACTAGGAGAGTGCATTCAAAAAAGATCTATGCTCTACTTCATTATCCATGCCATTGGTGATACTCTGCTTGTGAAATGAAATTTCTGAATGCTTCAATGCATCCCTGTAATGTACATGAAGATTTACACCTGCTGAGCAGGATCATGCAATCATATGCTCTTCTACAATAGAAGCACTCTAAACCGAACTCGTTGCAAGGGAGGGTTCAGCCATGGAAACTACTTGCTTGGCGCTTTGAACCTCACGTCTTCACACCAGATTCCCCACGTCTTATCATTGATATCTTACCATCATCTGAGAGCTGGTCAGCCGCCCAGGCTGCATCAATAATGTCCATCAACGCGGCATTGCGATGTGCGGCGCCATAAACGCTGTCCATTTCCCTTGGTTCATATTTTACTTAACTCATATCATCACCCTCATGCTCCGAGTCTCAGAGGCTGGCGCAGTGGCGCACCCCGGCGGGCTGGCCGCCCGGGCCCGCCGGCCGCCACAGAGTCAGCCTCAGAGCTGCGGCCCGGCGGAACTTCGGCGGCGGCACTGGCAGGCGGGGTCACCTGTCAGACCAGGTCCCACGGTTCCGACGCCGGGTTCAAAGTCCTACGGTAGACGCTCTTCGCATCCATTGCAGCAGCTTGTTTTCAGTCCGAGGCACGGTCCCCTTTAGGCAAGTTACCTGTACCGGGTGACCGCCCAAGGACTTGTTCCTGGTCGGATCCGACAAACAAATGATTGGAGCCCGCCGGCCGGGCTGCAACTTGACCACTATCATGCTTATAAGTCCCTCCATCCGATCTCAAGGCAAAGACTGTGACTCACCGTTGAACACACCCTACACGTGCACTGACTGCTACACCCGCACGCGTACCGTGCTATCATGATGCTGTCATGAGGTGCTTATTGCAACTTTTAAGCTTCCAGACACTGTCACTGAGTCGCCGCCACCGGAAGGTCTCAGCTCCCAGTGACGCAAGGGCGATGCCCCTGTAGCGGCGTCAAACGGCTCTTTGACGCACGGGCTGCATGCTCTACTGTTTCTGCCTCACCCCTCTCAGCACCGCATGCCTGCATCCTTCCGTCCCACCTCCAGCAGCTGCTGGGGCGGACTCAGCGAGCCTGACAAGCCCAGCCGACCAGAAGGAGGTCAAGTTGAGACTCTAACTTGACCTCTGCTGAAGGTGTAGACACGATAAGATCGCGAGGTTTCTGACACTCGAGAGTCTCTCTCCGTACCTCCAGTCACCCTCCCTCGATTCAACCGAGGCCGTATGTTCCCTACGCCTGCATCCAGCATCCAGAGCCACAGGGTAGGGCCCAGGCGATTAGACCTTCGCCTGCTTCAAGCCACTTCTGCTCCCTCCCTTGCAGTCCTTGCATGCTGATCGCTGCCGCCCGTGCTCGCATATGCCGCTCCCCCCGCAGTCCTTGCATATCGTGATCGGACCCTCCCGTGCTCGCAAATGCCGCTGCCCCCGCAGTCCTTGCATGCTGATCGGACCCGCCCGTGCTCGCATATGCTGCTCCCCCCGCAGTCCTTGCATGCTGATCGCCGCCGCTCGTGCTCGCATATGCTGCTCCCCCCGCAGTCCTTGCATGCTGATCGCTGCCGCCCGTGCTCGCATATGCTGCTCCCCCCGCAGTCCTTGCATGCTGATCGCTGCCGCCCGTGCTCGCATATGCTGCTGCCCCAGCAGTCCTTGCATGCTCATCAGACCCGCCCGTGCTGGCATATGCCGCTACCCCGCAGTCCTTGCATGCTGATCGCTGCCGCCCGTGCTCGCATATGCTGCTCCCCCCGCAGTCCTTGCATGCTGATCGGACCCGCCCGTGCTCGCATATGCCGCTACCCCCGCAGTCCTTGCATGCTGATCGCTGCCGCCCGTGCTCGCATATGCCGCTCCCCCGCCCGTGCTCGCATATGCTGCTCCCCCCGCAGTCCTTGCATTTCGATCGCCGCCGCCCGTGCTCGCATATGCTGCTCCCCCCGCAGTCCTTGCATGCTGATCGCTGCCGCCCGTGCTCGCATATGCTGCTCCCCCCGCAGTCCTTGCATAGCGATCGCCGCCGCCCGTGCTCGCATATGCTGCTCCCCCCGCAGTCCTTGCATGCTGATCGGACCCGCCCGTGCTCGCATATGCCGCTCCCCCCGCAGTCCTTGCATTTCGATCGCCGCCGCCCGTGCTCGCATATGCTGCTCCCCCCGCAGTCCTTGCATTTCGATCGCCGCCGCCCGTGCTCGCATATGCTGCTCCCCCCGCAGTCCTTGCATAGCGATCGCCGCCGCCCGTGCTCGCATATGCTGCTCCCCCCGCAGTCCTTGCATGCTGATCGGACCCGCCCGTGCTCGCATATGCCGCTCCCCCCGCAGTCCTTGCATTTCGATCGCCGCCGCCCGTGCTCGCATATGCCGCTCCCCCCGCAGTCCTTGCATTTCGATCGCCGCCGCCCGTGCTCGCATATGCTGCTCCCCCCGCAGTCCTTGCATAGCGATCGCCGCCGCCCGTGCTCGCATATGCTGCTCCCCCCGCAGTCCTTGCATGCTGATCGGACCCGCCCGTGCTCGCATATGCCGCTCCCCCCGCAGTCCTTGCATTTCGATCGCCGCCGCCCGTGCTCGCATATGCTGCTCCCCCCGCAGTCCTTGCATTTCGATCGCCGCCGCCCGTGCTCGCATATGCTGCTACCCCCGCAGTCCTTGCATGCTGATCGCCGCCGCCCGTGCTCGCATATGCTGCTCCCCCCGCAGTCCTTGCATGCTGATCGCCGCCGCCCGTGCTCGCATATGCTGCTCCCCCCGCAGTCCTTGCATGCTGATCGGACTCGCCCGTGCTCGCATATGCTGCTCCCCCCGCAGTCCTTGCATGCTGATCGCCGCCGCCCGTGCTCGCATATGCCGCTCCCCCCGCAGTCCTTGCATGCTGATCGCTGCCGCCCGTGCTCGCATATGCCGCTCCCCCCGCAGTCCTTGCATTTCGATCGCCGCCGCCCGTGCTCGCATATGCTGCTCCCCCCGCAGTCCTTGCATGCTGATCGCTGCCGCCCGTGCTCGCATATGCCGCTCCCCCCGCAGTCCTTGCATTTCGATCGCCGCCGCCCGTGCTCGCATATGCTGCTACCCCCGCAGTCCTTGCATTTCAATCGCCGCCGCCCGTGCTCGCATATGCTGCTTCCCCCGCAGTCCTTGCATCGTGATCGGACCCGCCCGTGCTCGCATATGCTGCTCCCCCCGCAGTCCTTGCATTTCGATCGCCGCCGCCCGTGCTCGCATATGCTGCTCCCCCCGCAGTCCTTGCATGCTGATCGCTGCCGCCCGTGCTCGCATATGCTGCTCCCCCCGCAGTCCTTGCATGTCGATCGCCGCCGCCCGTGCTCGCATATGCTGCTTCCCCCGCAGTCCTTGCATGCTGATCGGACCCGCCCGTGCTCGCATATGCTGCTCCCCCCGCAGTCCTTGCATCGTGATCGCCGCCGCCCGTGCTCGCATATGCTGCTGCCCCTGCAACCTTTGCATAGCGATCGCCGCCGCCCGTGCTCGCATATGCTGCTGCCCCTGCAGTCCTTGCATCGTGATCGGACCCGCCCGTGCTCGCATATGCTGCTCCCCCCGCAGTCCTTGCATGCTGATCGGACCCGCCCGTGCTCGCATATGCTGCCGCCCCCGCAGTCCTTGCATGCTGATCGCCGCCGCCCGTGCTCGCATATGCCGCTGCCCCCGCAGTCCTTTCATGCTGATCGCTGCCGCCCGTGCTCGCATATGCTGCTCCCCCCGCAGTCCTTGCATCGTGATCGCTGCCGCCCGTGCTCGCATATGCCGCTACCCCCGCAGTCCTTGCATCGTGATCGCCGCCGCCCGTGCTCGCATATGCTGCTCCCCCCGCAGTCCTTGCATGCTGATCGCTGCCGCCCGTGCTCGCATATGCTGCTCCCCCCGCAGTCCTTGCATGCTGATCGGACCCGCCCGTGCTCGCATATGCCGCTCCCCCCGCAGTCCTTGCATGCTGATCGCTGCCGCCCGTGCTGGCATACAGCTTTAGTTCTCCGTCTCTTTTGTGGTCTCTGATGGTCTTCTGTCTCGTCCTTCTCTTCTTCTTTCTCTTCTTCTCCATCCTTCCTCCACCTCTTCCCCAACCTCTCCCTCACTGGCATCGCTTTCTTCTGCCCCTACTCATCCCCCTCATACTCGATTTCAATCTTCCCAATCTGCTTCCCAATCTTCACGAGTAGCGACTCTGATCAGTGTGTTGACTCATCAGTCTTGTTCTAGTAAAACTAAGTTACAGGAGAGAGGGAGGACATGTGTTGGTCGAGATGAAAGAGAAATGATCCTGACAGATCCTGTCAGAGGCCTCAAGCGCAGGAGCCCGCGGTACCGATCCCGCTGACGTGCCAGCGCTTTTGCTGTCAGGCTCCTGCTGTTGGTGTTCGTGGACGAGCTGCAATGGCGTTAAGGCGCGGCAGCTGATGAGCAACCCGAGGGAAGACCTGTGGGGCAAAGAAATCGGACTCGAGGCTCGAGAGCACGTTGTTCAGTCCGCCTGTAGCCTACGAGACATGAGCTCGCCGGTGAGTTCAAGCAACGGCACCACCTGCCCCCCGAGCTGGTTCTGCCCCATCATCGGAATGCTGGGCCCTGTGGCTTGAGGATGACCTGCAGCGGATGGGTTGAGGAAGTCGAAGCCCGAGAAAGCAGCCTGCATCTTGTTCTCTGCGCTCGCACCCCCCTGCCGCCAACTCAGTTGCCTCCGAAACAAGTCGCTCCTGACCGTTGGCATGCCCAGCAGGTCAGAGAGTGGATCCGGAGGGGGCTTGGCCTGCATGGACGTGTCAGGGAGGAGGGAGAGCAAGCAGGAGGTACCGATGCGCTCGAGGAAAAGATGCCTTGCAGCAGGTCGTTGGTCGACTGGTTGCTGGGGAGCTGCCGGGAGGTTCCATGGCTCATCTCGAACTGTCAGCACGTCAAGATCAGCAGCATCGCAACGGGCAGCACACCAGCGAGTCGACAGAGGAAGGATCCCTTTGGTTCCCTCCTGCAGCCCCCGACGGATTCCCGTTGGATTCGGCAGCGATCGTCAGCCCCGCGAACAGCGAGGTGGGAGCGACGGGTTGCTTGACCTCCAGCCCGAGGTCGAGCAGGTCGTTGCTCGCGTTCCTAGAAGTCTGCGGCTGCGCGGGTTCGGCCGAGATGGATGAGATCTCCTTCAAGACTTTCTGTGACATGTCGGCGAGGGCGGCTTGCGGGCTCGACGAGAGACTCTCAATGAGAGCGAGCCTGTGCTGCAGCAGCTTGTGAACTTTGTGCTTCACTTCCGTGTTCTCCGCTTTCAGCAGGGCATCCAGCACGTGCAACGTCTTCAGGCGGGACTGCCAGGCATCCGCTTCGAGCTTGCTGCAAAGAAGTGCGACGAGCAGCGGCAGGTCGAGGGAGGGGCATTTGTTCACTAGGTCCCTCAACTCCTCCTTTGGTGGGGCCGCTCTCAGTCCCCCGGGAGCAGTCAGCGCCTGCTGCAGCATCAGCCCCCCACGTTCTGAAGAGGAGGAGGAGGAGGAGGAGGAGGAGGAGGAGGAGGAGGAGGAGGAGGAGGACCTGAACAACGCTCTCTTCGTATGCTCCCACTGCTGGCCTGACAGGCTCAACCTGTGGCTCCGCAAACGCGGGGACTTGGCGACCGAGGGAGTTCGCGTTGAGGGAGGAGCTCTCGTGGGATGAGGCGGAGGACGGAGGAGGAGCCTGTGGAAGGATCGTGAGCATTGCATGCTTCTCTTGCGCAGCCATCACCTGAGGCAGTCGTTGAACCTCCTGCACCATGTTGCCCATCACCGCCTGCCCTCCAGTGTAGCTTCCTCCTCCGGACATGCCGCCTTGGCCCCTTCCGCTCGTGCTGTCCGGGAGATCACTAGAGCCGGCAGGCTTTGTAATCTTAAGTGCTCATGTCAGCAGGGTCGAGCTGGAGCCCTAGCTGGGCCGAGCACCTTGTCCTTGAACTGAGTCAATCCGCTTGACAGGACAGTGGCTGCACCCTAGGACGACAAGTATCATGCTGGGGAGAGCCGACAACTCCAGCTGACCTTCACCAGTCCCAAACCCCCTTGATCCTTCGAGACGGTCCCAAAACCTGTCAGGAGTCAGAGGTTCAACGAGCCGCATCTTGTTGCAGCAATACCTGCCATGCGAGAGTTGTTGCCGTGCTGCGCGGAATTCTGCGAGCACAAACACTCAGGACGATCGACATTAGCCAGCGGCTCAGGACAAGTGGTAGCACGTGCGAGTAGTTGAGGGCAAGTGGTAGCATGTGCGAGTAGCAGACACCTGCTGGACGTGATGGCTGAAGTAGCTGTTGAGCGAGCGATGACCGTCGTCAGTCGACCGCGACGTGTCGCTGCCGAACCCTTCGTATCTGCACGACAGACGGATAAGCGTCATGCCGGACATCCGGCCGGCTATACCTCTTCGATTCGACATGGGGTTGTGTGTCTTTCAAACCCATCACCTGCACACCAGGTCAACCCAATGCTACCGCCGACGTGACTCTTGCGTTGTCACTGATGGTTGAAAGAGGAGGAGGAGCTGCAGCCGTCGGAGGAGGGTTGCTCCTCAACTGCTGGGTCTCAGTGTCGAAGACGGCGTTGATAACCTAGATGCTCACGTATCAACCATCTTCATCCGCCTCTAGCAGACCCCCGACCTGCTGCGCCGTCTCTCGCACCATCTGTGAAGGGAGTTCTCCCATGGTGGGGTGAGGATCGCCGCGCCAGTGGAGACATTCTCGTATCTGAGTGCAGCTCAGCCGTGTCTTGCCGTGCTCCTGCATGAACTCACCGCTGTAGTCCGACGCTGCATGTCCCTCTTGAAGCTGAAGACCGTGTCAGGAGCTCGACTGATCGTTCATTGCCATGGCTGCAGCCACCTGGGGGAACCGCTGTCGCAGAGCAGCTTGATAATCCTGAGGGTCTTGAGTTTGACATTGGAGGACTTCTTGTCGAGACGGGCTGCACATCAACATCAGGGCAGCCCCAGCAGGCTCTTCCTCGCCTAGAAGCTGGTCTTCAATCACACTGCCAGGCCGGTTACATGGGGGCATATTTCAATCCTGTAAAGCTCACCTACACGCATCCATGTCGAAGGAGAGTTTCTTCAACTCCTCCTGCATCAAAGTGAGCAAGCACTCCTGGCATGCAAGACATCTGATCTGCCTGGATGTAACCCGGGCAAGGGATCTCGTCATCAGTGGTAGCTTTGGCGACAACCTACACGCAAGGAGGCTCAGTTGACATGCTTCCTCTTCAGAGCTCGCGCGACACCTGACCATATTTGATCGAATCCGGGATAAGACGAGAAACCATCTGGAGGCAACACAATCAGCTGCATAGAAGTGCTCTCCAAACTGCTTCGCATCCTCTTGCTCCTCCGCCAACTCGCGCAGCGGGTTTTGCGTGAGCGCAGCACCTGATGATATGAATCTTTCCTTCTCTCTCTTGTTCTCATGTTTCATACTCCCCCTCCCTCCCTCCCTCCCTCGTCTTTCCCCCTCCTCCCTCCCCTCCTCTTGCGTCGCCATACATGTCCAACTGACCCTCATCCCTCCTCAGATCCTCAGCAGAAGCGGGGATGAGGTCGCATGTCTCTTGAAAAGTGACGATCGCTGTATCTAGACTTCTGTAGTTTTTTTATCTCTGGTACTGAAATTTATCTTATAAATATTATAGAACAAACTTTACTAAATCTTATTTTATCGTTGTTGCACACAGGATGGCTCAACGCTGTTAGGGGTGAAGAATCAGAGAGAGGAAGGACAAGCAGGAAGAGGAAGAGGAAGAGGAAGAGGAAGAGGAAGAGGAAGAGGGAGAGGGAGAGGGAGAGGAAGAGGAAGAGGTTAGTGAGGGACACATCAGACCAGGACCAGGACCAGGACCAGGGAGTCGGGTTATTGGACCATGGTCCTTCAAAAGGGCTGGCTCCACCTTCTATTGGGGTGCCTGCTGTGCTCTGGAAAAGCTATAGGGGGGAAACGGTCCTTCTTTGATCCCGAGGACAGCCTGACTTTCTCCCCCGTCCCTTCTTCCCACGTGGACCTCCACTTCCTGGACAAGACGCGCATGCAGGGATGTACGGGGCAGGACCTTATCAGCTTCGGGCCGTACACCGTCGAGACCCGCCTCGGGTTGATCACCTCTTGCAACAAGCAGATCTGCAAGCGGGTGAGGAGGAGGAGCGCTTGCTGTGAGGCTGACTGACCTGCTGTGCGCCAGGTTGACGGCATCCTGGGCTTCGGTTGGCAGGATACACCAGGGAGTCCCTCCCTGTTCAAGACGCTGACACAGTCGGCGAGAAGTGAGTGGGAGATCGAGCAGCCTTACGAGTTCCAGCCCATGCCGCGCTTCTTCGCCATGGCAGTCAACGAGTGGAAAGCTGAGATCCAGCTGGGGGACTACGACCCTTCCTCAGTGTCGGGACCGGTCGCATGGCTGCCGATGAAGGGCATCGACTATGGTGTGCAGGTCGCGTCGATCTCATACGGTGATGGCAGCGATGCGGTGGAGCTGCTGAGCTTCACGAACAAGGACAGGAAGTTGGGGTACATCGGCAAGTTCGACAGCGGGACGACCTGCATCCTGATGCCCAACACGACAGTCGGGAAGCAGCTGGAGTTTAGTCCCTTCGAGAAGCTCCTGCACATGCAGCTCAAGGGGATTAAGAGGAGCCTGTACTTCACCATCATCGACGAGGACGGTGCTCCCCGCAAGTTTGAGATTGAGTACGAGGGATGTGTGGAGCCTTCGGAGGAACGCCTTATCCTCGGGGACCCTTGGTTTCGCAAGTTTGTCGTCATGCACGATCTGCGGAAGATGGACAAGCCGAGGATGGGGCTGGCGGTGAGGTCGGCAGACTACACGCTCAAGGACGAGATCGACGAAGATTACCTCGGGGCTTTCTCCTACGACAAGGACGTCGACAAGCTGCGTGCTGCCGTCACGCCAACGACAAGTTTGAAGAGCTCGCGCGGCCAGAAGAAGTTCCTCAAGCACTTGAGGCAGGCGGTGAGAGAGGAGAAGAGGAGACTGTCGCACAACCAGGTCTACAAGCTCTCAGCGAGTAGAGGATACTTGCCCAAGCCATCCCCGTCTTCCTCCTCAACCTTGTCGTTCTTGGAGCCTGAGTACAGATGGGAGGAGGAGGACAGGCTGGAGAAGGTTCGCATGGAAACCAACAAGATCGTGTACGCCATCGACATCGGAGTTGGAACCCCGCCTCAGAAGAGGAGGCTCATCTTCGACACGGGCTCGTACATGCTCGCTGTGTTCGCAGCACCGGCTTCCTGCAGCTCTGATGACGTCATCTCCAGCATGCAGGTGAAACTCAAACGTGACTTGCGCCTCTCCTCCTGACCTCCTCCTTTCCTCAGGTGAAGGCCAGCTCGAGCTCATGGAGGATCAGTAACCTCCTACTGGCTACGATGATGATCGCAGCTGCGGCTCTTGTAGCTACAGTGAGTCAAGCGAGGATGAGGAGGAGATATACTCGTTTTCATTAGCAGCAGCTAACGATCCTTCCCTTCTCTCTGCGCGGCGGAGCACGTTGTTCCTCCTTTCGCCTTGTCACGCTCAGGCCTTACCCTCATTCCTCACACTGTCAAAGTGCTGCTTGGCTGCCTGCGCCGCCTTCTCCCCGAGGATGGCCTTGATCTTGTTCAGCGTGTCCATCACACCCTTATCGTCTCCCTGCCTCTATCGTGAGCAGCAGAGCAAGTCAGCGCGAGGAGGCAGCTCACATTGGCCTGCTGAAGGAGGCCTGTGTTCATCCATGCGTGGAAGTTGGTGGGGCAGGTCAAGGTGGCTCGATTCAGGAACTCGAATTGCTGCGTGGGGGGTCATGGCTGCAGGAGCAGACGAGCAGCCGTCACCTTGGGCTCGTCCTCGTTCTTCCACGAGAGCAGCTGGGCCTGCGGTGAGTGTCAGTATCGAGCGGCTCAGGGGCTTTCTCAGCTCGCCTCCAACACGTCCAGCTGCGAGCGCTTGTAGAGGCTGACTTCGTCAGTGCCGTCCTTGAGCCCTCCCCGCATGGTGGGGACGAGGGTTTTCAGCTCCTGGTAGAGCTGGTCGGGTTTGAACGGCATGGTGGACGTGTCCTTGGCAGTACCTGCAAGGCATCAGATCAGATCCCCAGGAGCGACCGTCCCCGAGACTGACTGCAGTGAATGAGGCACTGCATGCGCAGTTCGAGGAAGAAGAACTCAAGCGTCGAGTCCCCCGGGTTCAGGTCCATCGCCTTCTTCGTGACGCTGCCGCTACTTCAGCCCAGCAGCCCCTGGGCAGGCATCTCGCTCACCTGTACGCCTTGGCGAAGTCGTGCAGCCCCACCAGGCAGTTTGCGTACGAGGCCGTGATGGTTGGGTTGTAGTCGGCCAAGTTGTTCCTGCCAAGGGGTCAGTGCTTGAGCCAACAAGACTCGTTGCTGTACTTCTTCTCGAGATTCTCGTAGATCGCCCTGGCCTCGCCTGGTTTCTGGCACACCATCAAAGTCTCTGCATACAGTTGCTGGTACTGCAGCGCTGTCAGAGGTACGCAAACATGCTGCAAGCTCAACCTGAATTTCGTCTGGAAACATGTCGCACAGTATCTTTAGGTACTTTGCTGAGCCTTGGTAGTTCCCTGCGGCAGGCGAGTAAGGAGAGGAGAAGGAGAAGGATAGGAGGGCGCGAGGAGGAGGAGGAGGAGGATGATAGTAAAGACAAGAGCAATTCACAGGCCCAGGCCCGAAGGCGCACGCAGGCGACACAGTAGCAGGCATACGGAAAAGGCAAGAAAAGCGACGGTGAAAGAGGGAAGAGGAGACTATGGGACATCCGGGGGGGTGAGAGAAGGACAAGCACCGGTTGCATGGCAAGCACCGAAGAGCTGTCGAAGGTACTTCTCATACCAGTCCTAGGAAGATTCAGTTCACTTCAAGCCTTCGGGAGAGTTTGAGACCTGAACCAAGAACAGCTCGTTGACCGTACCAGCTTCTCGATGTCGATCGAAGGATTCAAAATACTCAATGGCTCCAGCATAGTTGCCCTGACAACCAAAAGCTTGTCAACCCCAAACTCTTGTCAACCTCAACCTCTTGCTCTTTCGCTCGTGGGAACAACAAAGAAAGAAGCGAAATGTCAACCTGCTTGAAATGCAGAACTCCACTCCAGAAGTCAGCAGTCGATTGGCAGACGCTCTTCTTGAGGCGCGGGTCGACGTACTTCTTGTCCTCCTCAGTCTCGCCTTCACGTACACCTTGTGCCGGCTCCTCGGGTTTGACATCCTCAAACTCTACCTGATGCGCACAGACGAGCGTGAGGGAGCAGGAGCTCGATCGAGCATCCGAACCTTTCGTAGCTTACTCAGGATCGTGAGGGCTTCGACGTGCTTGTCCATCGCAAGATTCATTTGAATCTTCTGTGACATGATCAAAATCCTCTGCAGGGTGAACGTGTCAGCACTAGAAGCAACCATCAACGAGGGTGAAAGAGCAGCAGGCGATGATGTTGGACGCCAACAAGAAGAGACCCATCACTCGAGTTGTATCTGATCTGCACCCTAAGGCGCATCGACCTACCGTGAGATCTTCGATCTTCCTGTCTTGCTTATCCATCATGGCCTCATAGTTCTGGCGATCGAGTCAGTTCTGGCAGAAGAGGTTGGAGCCTCCACAGAGGAGCTGCCGCGCTCTCACCTCCAGGTCACTGATAGAGTTTTTGTGCTCTCCGATGAGACCATAGTTGGCAGCCCTCACCAAGTAGAACATGGGCAGGAGGTTGGCAACGTGAGGAAACGCTTGCATGACAACGTTGAGACAGTCGATGGCCTTGCGGTAGTCTTTGATTATTTCTGCTGAGGTGGAGGCGGTGAAGTTCATGGCGGCAATGGAATGCAGGATCTGAAGCTTGGCTGCATTGTTCTCAACGCTGTCTGCCCTGAGCTCCTCCTGGTACTTCTTGTACTCCTGCATGGCGTCCTCGCACAACATGATGACTTCATAATGCTTCCCCTGGTGCGACAGCTCCCCCATCTCCACAAGATACTTCTCGGACAGCTTGATGAGGTCCGACACGATAGAAGGAGAATCGTCGTCTTGACCGTCTTTGGTCTTTCCGAGCTCGTAGATCATGTCGTCAATCTTAGGGATCTCGTTCGTCGTGCTCATGCTCCTCCTGGTCCACCCGAGCTGACCCGGCAGCCTGGCACGTGCCTGTGCATGCAGCAAGATGTTCTCCTGCTGCTTGACTCCGGAGCGAGGTTGCGCGTGCCCCTCAGCCCTGGACTTGCTCCAAGATCCTCTGAGGGGCGTGGGGCGAGGTGCAGCGGGGAGTCGTGCGACACAGCCAGGTCTCGAGAAGCAAGAAGAACTCTGGGAGGAGGAGAAGGAGGAGGAGGAGGATACGAAGCGCGAGGAGAAGGACGTGGAGGAGGAGGAGGAGGAGCTCGCTACTACCCTCACGACCCTGCGAAGAAATCCAGCCTTCGTCACCATTGTGGCAGCGGCAGGTGCTGGGGCAGCAATGCTCTCCCTATCTGGTTGACCTAGTGCTTCATTTCTGCCCTCTCATCTCGACTAGGGAATCTGGTAGGAGGGGTGATCCGGTTCAAAAATTCAATATAACCCCATTAAACACACTATGAAATAGGGGTAGTCTTGTGACCCACCCGTGGATCAGAAGATGCTACGAACTTGACACTGAGACAAGTTGCCCAGGATGGCAGGGAAGGGAAGAGAGGACAGGAGAGGACAGGAGAGGACAGGAGAGGAGAGGAGAGGAGAGGAGAGGAGAGGAGAGAACAGGAGAGAAGAGGAGAGAAGAGGAGAGGAGGGGAAGAAGATGGTGAAGGGAGAAGATGGTGAAGGGAGATTGGGGCGGGGG